CATTTTTAAGCTTAGAGACACATCCTTAATCATCGCACTACTAGGGCATATACCATCACATCCTCACAAGACTAAATTTGCTTTGTGTATATGTGCGACACAGTGGAGACTCAAATATTTGCTACTAATCGTTTGTTCAGTCAAAGTAAACCAAACATAACATCCGATATCCATCTATCCATTACAACTTAGAAAAGCGGAACAAGCTTTTTCCTAGTAAAAATATTAGGAATAGGGAAACTTTTATAAACACGTTTCATTCTTGTTCTAACAAGGCACCACAATGCAAGCATTCGCACGTCACATCGGAAAACTTGTCGCGGAGAAGATCTTATTGCGTCTCGTCTTCTTCCCCTAATTTATCTTAACATTACTGTCACTTACTGTCACTTCCACTAATGTCAAGGAGCAAATTACCTGATTTAATACTAAAAAGAATAAAAAACTTGAAAATAAATTAAAGTAGAAGAGGGAGTGAATAAGAACAGGTTTGCTATTTTTCTGGTTTCTTAACAAAAAGTGCTCTACGGAATTGGCTTTTGCAAGTGGATTGTATCCGATTAGCAAATGGTGATTTAGGAAACAAAGGTAACAAACTTCTCCTGGCTATTTGTTTTTATTGTCAGTGATTACAAAGCCTCGAGGCTGCCCTGAGGACAAAAAAAGACACAATACTAGGGCAGAATACATATTCAACCTATAGTAGGGTTTGGGCTACTACTGTGGCACGGAGGCCAGCCCATCTGGCGTAGGTACAACAGTGGAGACCCATAGTGGTCCCCATGCCTCCAAATCGAGAGTTAAACAAACAGGCAGCGCACTGCACAGCCCCTCTCCTCCTTTGATTGTCGTCTCCAGAGCTTCGCATGGGTAACCTCCCACGTCAGCCATCACAGCGCAGGTGGCATTTTAAGGAAGCATCCACTATCCAACCGTGTCGGCCATCAAATTTCCATGTAACCGCGAATATATTGACCGCAACGACACTGCTCCCTCTTGGTAATTCTACTGGATCTGAAGTTTCGTCCTGTGTGGGAAGTGGCATAGCTTGACGTCATGCATGTTCAGAGGTAGTCACAGGAACACCGTCTTTAAAGCAGTCAGGTAACAGGGATGGGACTGAAAATAGTTCTGTGGGGATAGGATTTTGCTTCCATTCCTCCTTGCTACTTTGTTCGCACTTTAGAGCTGTCCGGTCATGTCAAGCTATGTCCTATCCAGGTAGAAGAGAAGTGGAGGAGGTTTCGCGTTTTCACATATTTGACAACTTAATACAGGAATAGAAGGCAGCTGCGCAACGAACTTTTCGGGATGGCTCACGGATGGCGCCGCTTCAGTTGTGAACGGCTTTCCTGCAGACCACGGGACTGTAATAGTTACTGAAGGTCACGTCATTACCAGTTCCGCTAAAGATTTGTCACTCAACGTTAAAAAGCGGAATAAATGTCCTTTAGAATCGGGTTTGCTTTTCGATGCCACCAATGTGGCGCCCCGAGGCTTCGTTGAGGAAGAAAGAAGGCACAATACTGGGGCTAAATATCTATTCAACGTAAAGTGGGACATGGGGCTACTGAGATGTACCATAGACCAGCCCACCCGGCAAAGGCACAATGGCGGAGCACATGAGTAGCCTTTTTACTAAAACGGAGAGTTAAACAAGCAACCAAAGTCTACACTGATAATTTGCCTCATTTCTATAAATGTATATAAATAATACGTATGAATCACCACCTTTTGACCCTCCATAAACAAATGTTTGCCTTCTGTGCCTCCAAGGAAAGGCAATTCGAGGGATATTTCGTAAGACTGAAAACGGTAAATCAAAAAGGCCTGACTATTGAGGAAATTGTTGGTTTTTTGTGCGTGAAAGATATGGCAAACAAATCATCATATCAAGCCATGCCCTGCTGAACAAGGAACAAGTTTGAAATTCAAGAAAAGCAATTTAAAGCCAATTGGTGTAAAATGTTTAGTAAATGAAAACAGTCTCGGCAACGGCGAATTCATTCGCTTGTTGCAGAGCCAGAAAAGAAGGATAGTGAAAAAATTTTTGAATTTTTGAAACTTGGACAAGTAACTCCGTGGAAGACTAAGCATGCAAATGAAGTAGTTATCCGACACAAGCTAACAGGTTCAAAATATATAATCTAAAATGAGTTGATGCTGTCCTAGAGATGAGACATTTTCAATTAAGCAGTCATGAAATGCATGGAAAAATACAATTCAGTATAACTCATTCAAATGAAATGGGTGAAAGACAAATGGTTAGTGATACCTTCATCACAGTAAGGTTGAAACCAACATCCCGTTTGCAGTACATTTAATGATGCTAGCTTTCCGATCAAACCACTACCTTAAATTAAGGGCTGGTGGAGTTCGTTACTTAGCCAAAATTTGATGAATAAGTTGTTTATAGTAAACAATTAATTTTGGCTCTGACTGTAATAAAATAAAACCTTCATAAATATTATTTTATAAATGAAAGACAATCACAATCTACTGTCATCTTCCAAGGATTGCAAGTTAGTTCCAACTTGCAACCTTATAGCA